CAGACATTTCTGTGCATGCCACAAGCCTTGAACAAACTCCAACCCCTACCTGTGTCTACATGTATTGTGCCAGCTTATGACATAATTGTAAGAATGCTGTAGTTGTCCTCCAATAGGAGGGCAGCACAACCTTCATGTACAGTAATCCTTGTGAATACTAGCTCATGATCATAGACTAATTTTTTTCTTGGCATTGCTTGTGTACAGTTGTGTTTTTTCCTTGTTTTTGAGTTTTTAGTTGCTTTTGATTGACTGCCTTTCTTTATTCAGTACTACATTACTTGTGTCCTCTTTGCAGTTTTATTCCTTCCACCTGATTGAAACTTCATTTTCCCTAGCCAATACACTTCTACTTTATGCTACTTTCAACAAAGTGTGCCAAAATATAATCCAAAGGCCCAGACATTCTTTTTCAGGCATTTTCTCCAAATGTCTCAATTTGTTCATAGAATCAAAGTTCTGTTGTCCCTGTACTTAGAAAAGCTTATGCCTGAATGTGACAGGTCTCAGATTTTCACTCCATGCTGAGGTACTGTCAACATTGTGTATAACTTGAATTACCACAAACTTATGGAACAATGATGAACAATGGTGTAATGACATGTTTACTAATGAGGCTCCTGTTATTGTGCATCATGTGGTTAGTTCCCTTCTGCCTACTCCTTCAGTTTAAGTCTCACATCATTCTGTTTCATTGTCTTTTGTGGTGCCTGCCTCACCTGTGGATGATTATGATTATGGTCAGATTTTCCACTTCCAGCCTTTGCTTTTGGCTAGTCTCTCCTTGATGAGGAATAGGTACCTTATTTTCTGTTTGTTATGCTAATAAATCAAGAATGTGTTAACTCTGTCTCTTTAACATGTATATAATAATGACTCTTTGATTGATTTCTTTGTGAATCCTTTACTATGGCCTCAGGTCATGGTTCTTTTATATTTCTTGGACCCCAGTTTATTGTGTCCTTTCTCTCTGCTTGGGATGCTCTTGTTTCTTTTTTATTCCACCTATCTGCTCATCTTTGTCTATCTTTACTCCTCAGCCATGTCTCTGCCATTCACTGCCTCACTGAGGCTCTTCATCATGACCCCACTGGTTTTGATGTGGACACCTATTCTTCTTTGTTTGCCACTTTGGTTTCAATTTCTTCCTCAAATACTCTATTTTGACATCATTTCTTTGTTTTGAGATTTTCTCAGTTAGGTTACATTTTTTTTGGTGTTTGAACCCCCTCCTTTTATATTCATGATTCTTGCCTCACCCCTCACAGACCAGATCTTTTGAAGTATTCCAGGCTCCATGGAATCCCAAACTAAGGCTGCTCTCCAGCAGTTTTCTGTTGTTTCTTTGCTTTCCCCACTCACTATTCTGTGGATACTTCTATCTTTTGCCAATTCTAAGGAATCACATCAGACTGACCTCTATCCTGTTCCTCATCCAACTCCTTCAGTTTGCTGTCTCTACCTCCACCACAGGTCTAGTTATCTGGCCCCTATCTTGACATGATTCAGTGAGTGTTTCCTTCATTCTTCAAGAGGTATCAATCCTGGGCTGGCTGGTCAAACTTTCTAAGTCATTTTTGGCTCCCACTCAGTATCTTGTCCACCAGGGAGTTTTCCTCATTTTCTATGGAAAGTAAGCTCAACCCTCTTCATTTCATCTTCATATCATAAAGATCTTGGTGTCCAAAGAACTTCTCTCTCCTTTTCTTGCTCTCTGGACTTATACTTTCTCATTCTAAAATTCCATTATTTGGCCTTCAGTCATCTTATTTACCTTGTAGTATGTCAGGTCCTTGGAGTTTTGAATCTGGTGGCAGGTTGCTTGTTCCAACAGGACTAGATCCATCTTGCAGAGTGGTCCTTGCATCCTTTGGCCTACCAGTGGATTTCTTTCCATTTTGGGTCCCCACTGATTAATGCTTTTGTAACTCTTCTCAATTCCATACTTCCTATCTCTTGGTCACTAGTCTCAGACCCGATAGTTCTGGCTGTTGGTACTCTTGAATTGGTCTGATCTCTTTTTCTATGCCTACCCTTTTCACCTATTCACCTGCATCTCTTCAAAGCTTTTTTTTGTCCATCATCTCCTTCATCTAGTCTCTCTCTTCCTGTCTGGGAACTTTGTGTAGCTTTTCTGACATTTACATGCCCCTTTTAAGCCATTGTTATCTGTTTTCCAAATTGGGGGTGGGGGGCATGGCACTCCCACCCTTCAGGGAGCACAAGGCCTTTTGGCAGGAGAGCCCAAAAATAACAACAGAAGAAACAGATAAGATGGAGACGACAACAACCTAACAAAATTATCACTTTGCTCACTTACAAAAAATTATTTTAATGTGTGGGAGGTGCAACAGAAACTTTGCTGAGTTAGAGTGGTACTACTAATTAAAGCTTGGTAAACACTATCTTGTATAATTTGTCTCTTACATTATATTTTCTCGCTGTCCTTGATTGTGGTCAATGTTGTTCAATCATTTATGCCTTAGATGCCTCCCATACTCTGTCACTGGGACCAGTTGATGTTGTTTCAACACCATTACTTTCATCCGAAGAGTTGGGCTGCCCAGTCTGGTGATCAGATATTTTATCCTTTCTCTCTCCCCTCTGTTCCTTATTATATGAGTGTAGCAACCTTGATCATCTTTTGTGTCCTATATGGACTATCTGTTGCTATTATTTGTCGTAGTAACCCATTGCACTGTCTCACGATATGACCCATTTCCAAATTATTGTATCTGATGACAGTGGTTCACGCACACTCTTAGATGTTCTTCTCAATGGGTATTCCTATCTTCTTGTTTTTCTAGTGTAGCATGGGTGTTTAGTATTACAATATCCCCCCAAGCATTTCCCAGTAGATATGTCCAGCTGGATGGGACTTGAATTTGCCTTGGGATGAAAGTGAGGGCTTCTCCTCCCTCCACCTATAATTAAAGTATCTATATCATTTAAGTATTTCTCCAAAACAGGCCTGGCATGGCCAGGTGGTTGGGGCGCTTGACTCGCAATCTGAGGGTTGTCAGTTCGAATCTCCGTACCACCAAACATGCTCGCCCTTTCAGCCATGGGGGCATTATAATGTAATGGTTAATCCCACTATTTGTTGGTGAAAAAAATTGCCCAAGAGTTGGTGGTGGGTAGTGATGACTAGCTGTCTTCCCTCTAGTCATAAACTGCTAAATTAGGGACAGCTAACGCAGATAGCCCTCACGTAGCTTTACGCAAAAATTCAAAACAATTCTCCAAAACAGAATGGCATAAAGCCGTAGCCATACTACACATTCTAACATTTCACCTATCTTAGCAACACATTACTGCTGGCACTAAACTTTTCTGACTTCCTTTGCTCTACTCTCTTTATAATGAAAATACTGAATAAATAAATCAGTAACAACAAATTGAGAGAAGAGTATTCCATGCTTGAAAAGGATATCGTCTCTCATCAGATGCTGTAACAACAGGTCTTGTGGAAGTCATATCTCAACAATCCCATGGGCTTTCCCTTTCTGTCGTTATTTCAGAAAGGAATTGATGTTTTTAATTGGTCTGCACTGTAGAATTTTGGCTCTTAGTGGTTGAGAGAAGTAAGTAACCTTTTCCTTACCTGAATATATATATTTCAATTAGGTACTTACCTTTTTGCAACACCCTTCTTCCCCACTTCTGGTGCATTTTGTTTCCTCATCAAGAATGAGCATGTAAGCATGTGCTAGTGCTAGTGCTCATGGAGATTACTGAACATGGAGGTTGTGCTGCCATTCTATTGGTGGAAAGCTACAACATTATGATGATTACATCATAAGAAGAGTCTGTTCAAGGCTTGTGGTATGTGCAGGAAATACCACGGCAGTTGCATGTATAATAACTCTTAGTGGTGCAGAGAGGTAAGTACCTATCCAAAATAAATTTTCAGGTGAGGAAAATGTAAACTTTGGTGATTCTTCTTTGGGGGTAATTTGAGCACCTTTCCATAAAATTAGAATTTTAAGTATAGATTTTGCCCTGCTCAAGCACAGATAATCTTTGAGTTAAAGGTTAATAAAAATTTGTGTGGGGTAATCTATAAACAAAATGTTGACCTCTTTATAAGTTTTGGCCCTTTGACCTTATTAGGCTAAAATTTAAATTTAGGTTTTATTTGTTTCTGAAGTAAAGGCCACACTGACTTTTGGTTTTAAATCAAACTTTTTTGGGTGATTTGTCATAGGATGGTAATTTTTGAGGTCTAATAAGTCTGTGTCTCTGCTTATACGGTTGGGCATTGTACACCACAGCAATACATTTCTTGTACTCCATTTAAATAGAATTTCAAATAGTCTTTTGGCTACTATAAGTCCACTTTAGCTGGTGAATTCTGAAAATTTTAGTATTAGTTGGTATTACTTGACTAAAGAAACAGGAAAAAAGTATTCTCCATCTAGTGAATGGATCATAAAAGGACTTTCCTAGAAACTGAGATAATGTTTCTCTTCTATAAATAACCTACCAGTAGTGGAAGTACTTGGAATATGCTATAAAAATACCACATCAAGCATGTAAAGCAAAGTACATTGAAATTTTGAGTGTTGAATTCAATATTTTCTCATTAAGACTTTGAGTAAATGTGTAATACCTCAAGGACAGTTCAAGACTTGGCAAGTCTAAGTGTATACCAGCTGCTTTTGTCATGAATTGCATTTTTTGTGTATTACATCCACAGCCATCATTTATATCACATCAATTGTGACACATTTGTGTCATATTGTTGTAAAAAAGGTTCTTGATATATTTGTAAGTATTTTTGATCAATACATCCTCAGTTGCTATTTTCTCATTGGTACATCCTGTGCATATGGTTATGCATCTGGTAATATGTGTACATTTTCAGCTAGCAAGAATTATTTCAAACATAAATTGGTTAGAGAGACCTTGAAAAAAATGTTCTAATGAATATTTTATTAGGGTTATAGAAATATGAACTTTTGTGGTGTTGGTTTAAAAAATAGTTTCTTTTATTTTAGATGGTGAATGATGGAAATAGGAGCTAACACCAACAATACACCAAAACAAAATCCTGAAAGCATAAGTACTAAAAAGGAAGGTGTAGGAAAAAATGTTAATATATTTGTTGCTAGAAAAAAAGAAAATATATCTATAGAGGTGGTATTACAAAAAGAACTTGTGAGGACTGTGGCCATGTGTTTTGCTCATCATCTAATTTAGCAAGACATAAACGAGACAATCGGTGTGGTCGAATGCACACGTCACATCTCTCAGGATCGTGGAATTGTCCCAGTTGTAAACAACACTATAGGTTTTATCCACTATATGTTAAACATATTAAAAAGTGTGGTAAACAAACAGAAACAATAGCTTCCCTTCATAATTCACCACAAATGGAAAATAAACAAACAAAAATCATAGAGCAAACAATTCCAAACAAAAAATTAGGTGGTTTTCGTTCTATACTTCAAAAATCCTCTAACTTACCCAGTAAATGCAAAGTATGTGGAGTGAATTTCCGGTCTGTTCTTCACTATAAAACGCATTTGAGCAGAAAGGGTTACTGCAGGCCTCGTCCTTTCACATGCTACAGTTGTGGAAAGATTTTTGATACTATACACCACCTGGTGGCTCATGAAAATAGAAAGTCTCCTTGTGTTCCTACTGAACTATCAAGCTCAGAAAAAGTGGCCACTGACAATACGGACTTACTAAGGAATATGTTTGATGTGAAAAACTATAACTCAATGATGGGTTCTGAGTTAGAAAATCAAAGGCAATATTGCAGTTTTGCAGGCCAAGAAAAAGAGGTCAACAAAAAATCAGAATCTGGTGAAAACCAGTGTGAAAAGTGTGGTACATTTTTTGATTCTCCTTTCCTGTGTCAAAGACACAAGCTCTATGACACACCTTGTGCCATAAGCCCTGCAACAAGTACTGGGGACAACAACTCTCGTAATATAGTTGAAAGTTTATACAGCAGAAGAAACCTTCGTGCTAGAAAACCTTTTCCAGGTCATACACCAAAAAGACATTCAAAGCGAGAACATCAATGCAGAAAGTGTGGTTATGTATTTTCAAGAGCTTATCGATTAAGAAGCCACTTAAACAGAAAGTTTCCTTGTGTTCCATTACGCCAACATTTCTTAACAACACACAATCGTTCAGCTAGAAAGACTATGCCTCCAGCCAGACTCCAGCATGATTTTTTAAATCAAAACAATCTTGAATCAGCAGAACAGACTTTTCCAGATGAAAAATCAAAAAAACATTACAAAAGTGTACATAGTAAAATCCTAAAGAAGTACCAAAAAATCACATCATGTCGACCAAAAATAAATGTTGAGCCAGAGATAAAACCCCCAGTTTGTGAGTTTTGTAACAAAACATTTGTGAGTGCAAAATCTTTCATTAAGCATATGCAGCTTCATCCAGGTTTCGTTGCTTCCAATCATCCTGTAAAATGTCCGGGTTGTCCAGAAGTGTTTCCTAACCCAGATGATTTATTTGAACATCAAAAAGCAGAGAAGCATTGGGGACCTATGATGTCTCGTACCCGTGAATGTGAATGTCCATTCTGTGGGAAGGAATTTCTTTATATTGGCCGTCGGAATAGCCATGCTAGGTTAATTCACATGCAGTCTAACCCAAAGGAGGTCAGAAAGTTTTTAGATGAGACTACTTGTAATATTTGCTATCGACAGTTTGTGGATGCTTATGAAACATATGCACACATCCAGTCAGAGCACCAAGGTGTATCACCTCCAAGTTTAGAGAGGAATTACATTTCTGCTGCAGAGTCAGAAGGTTTATCTGTACCAGAAGAAATTATAATAAACAAACCTGAGAGTTTGAAGAAAAAAATAGAAACTATGACTCCCAATGTACTTGCTTTAATGAAAAAATATCCTACAAAATGTCCTTTCTGTCTCAAGATTTACTCATCCTCATACGTACGTGATCGACATCTCAAGTGTCATACTATGGAAAAACCATTTGTTTGTTCATGGTGTAAAAAATGTTTTCCCCGTTCAGAACGTCTTACACGGCATTACCAACAAGTTCATAATGACTTACTTTTGTTTAAGTGCCTTGGATGTGGAATAAAATTTCCCACTCGATTGCAAATGGTTCAACACATTGGAAAGGCTCACACTAGTGCTTCCAGGTCAAATCTTCTTCATGAGATCAAACTTGAGTCTTCAAAACCTATACAACCAGCAGCAACAGAAATGTTAAAAGAGGAATTTGTAAAAAAACCTTTTCATTATCCAAAGCCGGGACTCATCTTATCACCTGATGATACTGTTCGTGGTATTTATTCGTGTGAGGTTTGTGGCATTCATAATTTTACCAAAATGACTGCTCTCCATCGTCACAGAAAATCTGGTTTTCATAGAGAGAACTTAAAACAAGTTAAATCACAAACATCAAAAAGTTTGTCAGGTACTAGAATGTCAGTGAACTACAAGTGTTCTGTTTGTGATGTTTCTTACTCCAGCATTGTTTCCTTTGTGCCTCATCGACTTAGTCATTTCCAAGCAAAGAACTTGGATCCCTCAGAGATTAATGAAAGCAACCCATATAGCTGTGAAATTTGTCAGAGATCAATTGATCATCACCAAAAAGTACAGGTACATCTTCTGTGGCATCTTCAAGCAGATCGCACTCCAAGGTTTATCAACTCTACAGACAGAGGAGCTGTATCACAGGAAAAGATTATTTTTAGTGACAAAAACCTCATTCCAGGAGACTCTTTTCATGGCAAAGCAGATGTGGAAATAGGTATTAAAACCAAATCTTTAGAAAATGTAGCAAAGAAAAGTATTCAAACCTCAATAACTCCGCAGGGGAATTTTTATAACAAACCACATTTAGAAAAAGTTTCAGTTGATGTGAAGACTGAAGAAAAGTCCCAGAAAGATGCACTTACTTGCCAAAAATGCCAGACTATGTTTTCAACAAAACAACAACTCACAGCTCACATTTGCCACTTTTGTCCTTTTAAAAGAACTTCAAAAGACTATATGAAATGTGACTCTGAACATAAATCATCTTCCTCCAACACTGCTGGAGATCCCCATTCCACTATATTGGAGGATTCTTCTGTGGCTTGCACTCACTGTTCATTAAAGTTTTTCTCCCCTACAGACCTTGAATGGCATGAAAAAAGTTGTTGTAAAGTTCATAGTTCTGAAAAGATTGATCTAAATAATACAAAAACTTCTAAGTTGTATCAGTGTAAGTACTGTTGCTGTGCTTTTATTACGTTAGAAATCTGTCATGAGCATGAGCGAGCATATTGTAAGAAGTCACAAACCTGTGAACAATGTAGACTAGATTTTAACAGTCACCAGGATCTCATTGACCACATGGAGAGTTACCATAGTGCTAATCACCAACTGAAGTGCTATGTTTGTGGGCAGACATTTTACAGTCCAAGAGTTCTCAAAAAACATCTGGAGTCTCATGAAGACGACATTGCATTCAACTGTTTGTATTGTGCAGCCTTTTTCTCAGACTTGAGGGGTCTTTTTGAACATCTTGAAAACCATGAAGTAAAGCTGAACATGCAGCAGCACTATGATGTTGATCTAGAAAAGGAGGGTATTTCTCACCAAGTAGAACCTGTAAAAAATTACAACCCTGAGAGATATGTTGAAAATTTGAAATTGTTCTCTGTGGAAGGTTCAAAAATTAAATTTCAGTGCTCACACTGTCCTCGAGGTTATAAAGACAGAGCTCATTTTCGAGAGCATATAGTCATTCATGAGCCATTCCATTGTGAAGTATGTGGAGGGATAGAGAATACTGTTGTTGGGTTTAGAAAACATCCCTGTAAGCTTCCAAATGGAAATTTGGCTACTGGAATTCTCTATCGAAAAAGCTGGGGAAAGAAGATGATCCAACTTGCCAAAAAGAAACGTTTCAAATCTTTTAACAGTGCAACTTCTGTTAAAGCTGTACCTGTTGATCAACAGGAATGGAAACCTGAAGATAGTGATTGTGGTAAAGGTGATGGTTCAAAAGAATTAGCTTCAATACAGCTGAAGATTGCAAATGATTTATCAGAAGAGTACAAGGAAAAAGTGGAAAACCATGACTACTCACAGAAAACACTTGATACCTTAAGAGAGAACTTTTCTCAGCTACTCTACTTCTTAGTTGCAGATCCAGAGCTTATGGAACAACTTGGCTGGGGAGTAAAGCTTATTGATACTGTATTGGATGATGTTCTTTATCACATGGAACAGCAGCCTGTAGGATACCATGACAAACAGACTGAACTGGAGCGTCTGCGAAAAAACATTCAGCTTTTACTAAGAGTTTCTGTCAAGGACCATGTTATGGATGATGTTGAAAGAGGAAGAAAGGTCATTGACGAATTGGTGCTGGAAATGTTGGAGATGTGCACTTCAAAGTTGAGTGAAGATTCACTTGATAGTAGTAGAGAATGGAGCTCTACCACAGATTAGATTGTTTTTATTACCTTGGAAAGGATAATATTCTACAAACTCCAGTGTAAATGGTGAAATCCTTGCCATTGAGTAATTGTTACTTATTTGAATTCAAGTTATTGAATAAATAAATAAATTGGGAAACGGTGAGACAGAACTATGTTTATAACTTGTATTAAATAATAGATAAGATCATTGAAATTGCATTGAAATGTGTTTTGAGGATGGCAACTAAAACCAGTATTTATATTATAATGTACTTTTGACAAAAAGGCCTATTAAGATGGAAATGAGAAATAGTTAAGTGTATTCACATATTGGTATTTGAAGAGGAAGACAAAAACACAAGTGTGATATTGTAACAATAGTCATCCTGTTCATTCAAAAGCTACTAAATCTATTCATGTTTTAACACATCTGTTCTTTATGATCTACTTGTATATTAGATATTCAACTATGATTTGGAAATGAGGAAACAAGAAGTGTTGGTTGGTTTTACATACTACTGCAATGGTAGCTGTCATGTTCTTTCTAAAGCTACATAAACATTCACCTTTTGATCTACATCATTTGTTATTATTAAGATTTCAACAATCAGTGTATACTTATTTTACAGTAATTCTTCAGTCTTTGTTGTACAAGTTGTTAAGTTTGTATTACATAATTTACATTTAAGAAAGTTTTTACAAAACTGTAACTAAACCAGTAATCATGAAGAACAACTCTGCATGAGATCAGAGGTAAATATTATCAAGAAACTTGGTGTACTGGACATATTATCATTGTGTGTGTGGTGTGTAGAAGTCTCCCTAACCGTGTGTGCTAATTTCTCCTCAAAACTGTTTACTGAGTATTTCTAGGCCACAGTTGTTAAGTAGTAACTCATTTAACTTAAATCAATGTCACTGTTTAAAGAACATGTTTCTTAAATGTTCTTTGAAGGCTGTCTGAAAAATATCAATAATGACAGAAAGATTCAAATTTCTTGTTGTTGTGATTTATACATTGTAATTTTTTAAGTACATCCTGAGAATTAGTAGTTGTTACACAAATTGTTCACACAGTTTGTTTTGTTGGATCTTATAATCTCAAGTTTCACAACTGCAGCTTTAATTGAGTTTGTATAGATGAAAATTTTAGATTATATTTTTATGTAGCTATTTTTCAGAAGAACACTATCTCTCTCTTCCATAACCAGTCTAAATCAATGCATTTGTTTAGATACATGCATGAGGTTCAGATTCTATATATAAATAATACAACCATTGTTCAGATTTTTTATATTTGTGATTTTTTCCATCCTTGATGTTTAGTTGTGAACTGAAAAACAAATTAACCTTTTGAAATACAAATTTCCCACATGGCAGCACTAAAATTGTGATTAGAAGTTTGAAAAAATAGCCATTGTCACATTTAATGGAAGTATAATATACAGTTATCTTAACTGAAATATGAAACCTCTTAGAGCAGTGGTTCCCAGCCTTTGGTACAAATACCTCCAGGGATACCCGAGGAGCTTCAAAAAACATTAAAATGAAAATCAGCACATATGCTCAAAATTGAAGGGCAGTCTTCATGAGTTACCAGTATTGCTGGGTGATTAGTGGAAATTAATTGATCATTTTCCTATGAAATTTGGATTGTTAGAATAACAGGAAATAGTAAAAATTTAAAATACTAATTTCGATTAGTTGATTATTTGGTGCATCATGACACTAATTGATAAAGCTGAACACATTTGAATGTACTGAAAATAACAATGAGAAATCATAGTGGCAATTTCTCAATTACTTGAATAATTGAAAATAAGGAAATGTTAACATTGATTAGTTGATTATATCGATTAACCAAGTTATCACCCCAGGGCTGGCCTTAGGGGGGTGTGGAGTCTGAGGCAAGTACTCAGGATTGGGTTCTCGAATTTGCATACTACAAGTATACAATCGACTTGACCAAATGATAACACAAAATACAAATGAAATAACATGAAACACAAGCAAATAACATTTATGTACTGCACAAATTAATTTATTGTTTATTTATAGCTAATAATGATACTGATTACAAATGACTGATACTGAAGAGTAAAATACATATGCATGTAGTCAGTTAAATTAAGTTAACTTTTCGCACTTTTATGAAAGAAAATTGTTTGAGCAACTCATAATAATCTAGCTTTTTGGATATCTTATGTTCAATGATCAAATAGCCAGACTCTCCATTCTTTCTTGGCATATAAAGGACCTGAAATAGTTTAAATTTTGAAAAACTGCATTCTCCTGCTGCTACATTTGCTGGAATTATAAGAAGAATTCGGATAGCAACAGTTACATTTACACAGACTTGCTTCAGCTTGTTTTTGTAGAGAAATTGTAAAATGTCTAGAGAACTGGTGACCTCCAAGAGCAATACTTCAGCTAAAATTTCGAACTCGTCAGCAAGTATGCGTCCATCAGTATCATGACCATTGCCTTGGATCAGAACAATTTCCAGATTTTTTCAGTTCCTTAAAAGAGCATTCTTCACTAAATCTTTCATGTTGTAAAGGAAACCAAACAATTTGTGATGCTCTTTTAGCTGACAAAACCTTTCATTTAAAGAAATTGTTGCAGTGTCTACCACAGCATTGAAAAAGTTTATTCAAAAGTTGTATTTGAGATTAATTACAGGATCGTTTGGACCTTCATAGTCAATTTTTTTTTCTACACCGATTAAGCTTGCAAAACATTGGCTCAACATCAACGTTTTCAGCAAGTTCACGTGCTGTGCCCAAGACATTTTGGAACTCCAAGTTTCTGTACTCTGTTGTTTTTTCACACGTTGAAATGCTTCTGTGATGTCACTTGCAATGCTCTACACCATTTTGTTCACAAGTTTGAATCAGAATAAAATGTCATGCCAGAATACCATCACAACAATGAATTCATACTTAGTTATGCATTGAGCAAGAGATTCCACTTCCATGCTTGTAATTGGGCTATTTGCTTCTATAGCTTCATAGACATTAGTAGCGAATGGGCTTCACAATTTCTATGTGAGCTTCGAACTGAGTGTCACTCAATGGTTTAACAGTCAAGCCCAAAACATTATTTCAGAAAATTGTCAGTCTTTGTGTGGATAAACTAAACAAAACACACTGGATTATCCCAAAGAAAGAAGCGGTCTGTGTGCATGTTTTGGCCATGTCAGCTATAAGAAGATTCCAATTGTGACAAGAGTATGGTCTTAAAAATGCCCTGAAATTATCTGCAAAATCCTAGCTTGAATGCCAGCTTTATGGCCTTTCATATTAGCATCATTGTCATATTCTTGACCTCTCATATCTGCAAGATCTATGCATACTCTTTCAAAAAATTCAATAAATATTTAGTTAGTGCTTCTCCTGTAGATTTTTAAACTGGAATTATGGATAAAATTTTTTCCAAACTTTCAACTTCAGTGGAGCTACTAGAACTACTGTCACTTGGAATAGGAACACTTTTGCCTCAATCTATGAGTGACATTTCTTTTTGGTGGCTGATATCAGGAGTGCAATCTAGAATGACAGAATAATATTTAGCATTTTAAATTTTCCTTACAATGTGTGATTTTGTGGTTGTTGCCACCAATGAAATTAATTCATTTTGTATAGTTTTGCCAAGATAATGATCATGAATTTCTTCTTTTTGTATCCAATTTAAATGTTCTTTTAAGACAGAGTCAAACTTTGCAGTAAACTCAACCAGCCCAAGAAACTTACTGATGCATGTCTTGTATATCTTATCTACAGAACCCCTGAAAGTTAAATTGTGTTCTGCTAAGTAATGCACAATTGCTATGAGTCTTTGGAACACATTCTGCCAATGAAGTTTTCTTTGGTTAATGATTCTCTCTTCGATCTAGTTGATTGTTTGCTTTTTTGTTATTCTTACTTCGAATTCCAGCCACTTTTGCATGTCATGCATGTGCTCTTGAGCAGTTTCATGCATGCACAAGCTTCTGTGAATGTTCTTGCAGTCATTGTATCCATATTGTTTAAGAGCACTGACCCTTTCCTGTGAGGTTGAGAACAGCTTGCAGCAGAAGCAGAATGCTCTATCTGAACTTTGTGAATATACAAGCTAAGTTCTAGGTGCTGTTTCGATGTTGGTCAGTTAATGTTGATAAAGATTTGAATTAAAATTTCTTCTGTTGCTAGTAACTGGATATCCAACATTCACAATTTAATGGAAACCACATTCAATTATTAAATGCCCCTAATTGCTGTCATTGTGAGATGGCCACTTTGTGGGATTTGTATATTCTTGTAAAAAAGTTACTTTCGAAGTATCACTATAGTTTGTGTTCGGCTGTGCTTCAGGTTCGATATTATCACAATTAGTAAGAATTGTTTGAGGTTGAAATTACCACTGTCAGCCAGGAGTGTTTCCTCTTTAATTTGTCAATCTTCTGTAACACTGGTTTCTGGTTCGACTATATCCTGCTCGTTGTTAGTTGTGATAGAAGTGCTTGGCATGAGAAACTTTTCCAAACCACCAGACAGCTTTCACTATCCTTTTCTATTTTTGCTCTCTTCTTTTCCTGACTTCCTGATTCATATGTTTTATAAGCATCTCTTGCTCACTTGGTAGATGGCATAATATAAAAACTAATTCATAAAGAGTAGTTTTTCTGTCTGAAAAAAAAGAATGTAACAGTGTAAGTATATTATAACACCAAAAATTATAACCCTCAAAAAGGCAATAGTAACGTGTACGCGTCCCTATGTTTGGACTTGACAAAAATTGTTCATTGTTATTTTGGTCAATGGACAGTGCGGGGCCTGAGGCAGTGGCCTTGCCCTAAAACTGGCCCTGAATCACCTAGCTGTAGGCTTATCAGTGTATTCTACTAGCCAGCATTCTTCATTCACATATTGTTGACCTTGAATTATTTATTTTGATTTACAATTTCATCAATATATATACACCACTCTTCAGGTTTTTGAACAAATTTTACTCATCAGGGGTAAACTGTTGGCTCAGAAGTCTGATTGGGAGTATGTAGCATAAAAGGTAGGGAACCACTTTATAAGGCATTGCTGTTTCTGAAACTTGTAAATAGCTCACTTTTGAAATAGTGCAGCAGTAAGAATTAAGTCATTTATTACTATATAAAGAGCAGTTTGTTGGTTTTTCTTATTAGATAAAAGTGTATTAAAACTTAATCTTTTAAAGTAGGAATTAAGAAAGTTATTCTTTGTACAGGATGAATTCTGTACAGTAGTTGTATCAGTTATTCAGGTTCACTGTAATTTTTTTTTAGTCTTTCACTAATTATATATGGCACATGTACAAATTAAGGTTTTAACTTTAAGGAAGTCCATATGTTTTATTGTTGATAATTTTTCTCATATACCAAAAGAATTTCATAAGTATTTTTTGTAATACTCAGTAACAACAAAGTTCAAATGCTTTTATTGTCATTGTCCTATTTTGGAGAAACTTGAGATATGACTTTGTAATTGCTTTTAATCTTCGGTAAGAGAAATGAAATAGTGTGTTAAATCATGGTATCATGACTTGGAGCTGGTTTGCCTAGTCCCATACTAGCAAAACATTTGCATACCACAAAACATGAAAAATAAACTTGTCAAGCTAAATGCTATGGCATGTTAAAACATTTTTCTAATAAGTAACACTTTGGGTAGACATAATTCATAAGGTTTTACATAATCTTCCTGATGTCATTCATTGAAATTGTCAGACCATGATATGTAATTATAACAATGTTTAGTCTCGTCATTCAAAGCTTTAGTAAAATGAGTCTAATTTGGCTTTAAGCTAGTAAGAATTTCTAAAGGATTAGTTCAATTTAATTTCAGACCAGTTAGAAATTCAGTTGAGTGAGCCTAATTTAGCCTATGACCTTTAGAAACTTAATAGGATGAGGCTTAGTAAGAAATTCGGTAGGATGGTGATGATTTAGAGCCAGACCCACTCAGAAATTTAATAGGACGGTGTCTACTTAGTGTCAGATTCAGTATAAATTTAATAGGATGGTGTCTACTTAGTGTCAGATTCAGTAGAAATTTAATAGGATGGTGTCTACTTAGTGTCAGATTCAGTAGAAATTTAATAGGATGGTGTCTACTTAGTGTCAGATTCAGTAGAAATATAGTAGGGAAGTGCTGACTTTGTGTCAGACCCAGTAAGAAATTTAGTAGGATGGTGTTAACTTTAGTATCAGACAGATCAGTTAAACATTTAGTGGATCAATTAGAATTTGAGTTACTGTAAGACTGGTAAAAATCATGACTACAATGAGTATGAGGTAGCCTTAGACAATTCAGTCTTCAGTAGTTAGATGAACATAATTATTTGCAAACTAATAAGTGTTTTAACGTAATAAGTCTGAATAAGTTTCAGAGCACTCTGAATTTACTATAATGAATCTGATTCTTTTTGCAACCATTAAGGACTTAAAAGTAGATTTTAACCTAACTAATAGTAAGAGCAGAAAGAATCTTGGAGATGTGGTCTCTTATTTGATTATGCTGTTATCAGATATATGTACATTACCTATGCAGAATAAGTTTAAGTAAAAATATGTAATTTTTAAGACATAAACTTTTTTTTAGTTTTTGTAGAAAGCTAATGTGTCAACAACAAAAAAAATGTTTTGTACATTTAAATAAAGATGTGACATTGATCAAGTTAGACCTTAGAAGTAGTAACTTGCTTTGGACTAATTTACAATTAACATGTTGTTAGGAATTTTTAATTATATTACTGTATATATATATATATATATATAATGCTATAGTGCCATAAATTCTTATATATCTTAGTTGTTTTAGCAGATTTTCAGTGATTCAGTATTACTTTAAATCCATGCAGTGTAATATAAAACCTTTTTTTTGTCTACCATTGATCTGAATCTGAAACCACTGATTATAATATAAGTTACAAACTTGCTCTTGCTTGCAGAGTTGTTAATGATATTTTCACTAAATATTTTTCCACATGCACAACATTTACATTGCTGAATACTATTTCTAAAGAAATCTTCTGAAACTTATTTGAGTTGTATTATATTCATCTTTTATTACTATCCAGATACAGGTCATACAATGGAGCAAAAAATATTTTTATCCACTTGAGAATAGGTATTTTCTTTTAACATGATAGGAAGTGTGTCATTTTTAGATGTTGTCTATTTTATTAATTTTTAATATTTTGTCATGAATATGTAAATGATAGGCACTAGTGTTAAAAACCACTTTTAAATTGTAGAAAACTTAGTTGCAATACTGTGGTTTTTGTATTTAATATGGTACCTTTCTAAAAATGCCTTTTAAAAACATGAATACTGAATTTGAAAATGAAGGCTGTTCTCTCCTAATATTCATATGAGATGTTAATATAAAAATTGGTTTTATACATTTAAAAAAAATTTACACAAAACTATTACTTTAGTTAAATGGAGGTTCTCATTTTTATGAATCTGTAGTTTCTACATTATTAGTATTTGTAATTATGAAAAACCAAATTAAGTGAACAAGTGAAAAAGACAGACTGAAACTGGAAATTATAATAATCCAAAAAGAAAAACTTTTCATTATGAATCATATTTTTATTGGGTTCTTTTATGAAATTGCAGATAGCCTAGTCTTATTTTGAAATAAAACTATGGTTTTAAAATATACTAAAACACTAAACTTGAAAAGAGCTAAGTCTGTTTTGCATGACTACTGTCAGAGAGAAATATCAGCAAACTCAATAACTTTTACAATACCTCAAAAATTGAGCTATGAATCATCCATTGACTACTATTTTTTACTATCACTTGGGCTATTTCTACAAGCTTACGTACATAGTAGTATTCATTTTAAGAAAGAATACTGATTATTTTAATTGTGAATTTATCCATTTGGAGTTATAAAAAAAGATCCCATTTGGTCTAACAATGTAGACAAATGAATAAAGCTGTATAAATATTTTTATTTAATTACAAAACTTTTACAGATAATTGCATTCTAAAACAGCATAGTATGCTTAACATTAATGGCATAAAGTTATTCACATGAGTAGATGCTTGAAATGCATAGCATTGCACAACTTAGGATGTTTTTAGACAATATTTATTTTATGTGTTTATCAGCTGTGGTTAAAGACTGGGCAGATGAAGTTCAGAAAGTATCCATTGTAAGTAAGTATCCTTTCTAAAACACACTCCTTCTAAACTAAAAAATTGAGTGGTTTATATGTGTATATTAATATTAAATACAGTAAGTTAAAACATTTGTAAAAGGTGACATTAAAGTTTGAATGTTTAAAAATGGACAACATGCAAGAATTTGATTAAATAAGACAGTTTTTAATTATTTTTTGTGCATATAAAAAATTAAAGTACTGTGTTGCTATTTTATTAGAACTGGTTTTAAGTCACTTAGCTGCATAATAAATTAAAAATAGTAAATACCTGGCAGTTTTGTTGTAAGTTACACTCTGTAAATTTTAGTGCTAATCAACAAATCAGAAATACTTTGGTCAAATTCAGGGATGTAACTGTTACTTTGGCACAGGCTGGAGTAGCTGTATCACTATGTGAGTGTGTGGTTGAATCTACTTGTAATTCCGATATGATACCTCCTCTCACACTCACATTATAGCTTTTCTCATCTTATGCTGCCCTCTATATGTGCAATTTTAGCTTGCCACTAACCTTGATACTCCCACCTACCCTAACATATTTACATGTAGTATAGCTGCACTGTAGCATGCAAATAAACATGTAACAACTCTCCATCAACAGGAGTGTGACACATCCTTCTAGTGCAGCTGACTCCCTCTATACTATAGAGCAGTGTTTCTCAAACTTTCTGAAACAGTGGACCGGCTACGAATCTTTTGATCACCCTAAACCAAATATATCGTTCACTTTTTTTTTTTTATAAGAAATGCATAATTATTCTGTTATATGATTTTTTAAAAAATATGTACATACATACATCATTATGAAAGGATTGCTTTAATAAATGTAGAATTTACGTCAATATAAGAATCATTAGATTGTCGTCAGCGTGAAAAGAAAGTTTATTTTTTATTTGTCAATTTATCAAGTCTTGGCTCGATGGAAGACAGTGCAACACGCAGTGGGGCTCGAATGTCCAAATGGTTTCTGTACTTAGTCTTTATGACACTAATTGTTGAGAAAGCAGTCTCACACAGATATGTTGATAGAAATTGGAGAAGTATTTTGATAGCGATTCCAGCCAGTTCAGGATATTCCGCTCTAGCTTTGATCCAAAAGCACATCAAGGATTCTGCAGATTCGAAAAGGATTTTCATGCTACGGTCAGCAGCAAGCTCCAGCAATTGATCCTCCAATGCAACTGACAATCGATGTTCCGATGTTAAAAAAGGGTTTCTGATCCATACATTACGTTTTCAAGGGTCTTCCTCTGATGGAAAGTACATCTCAAAGCACTCGAGTAGAGCCGTCAAATGCTCACTGATCTTGGCTCTCAATACAAACATCTCAAGTCTCGAGTCTGTTTCAGTTATTGTTGCTGACAGTTTGTGAAACATATCAAAGCAATCTTTCAACACGCGAGATTTCCACATATCCAGCTTGCGTTTCGTTCCATCAATCTTGTCTGCTATCATGAAGCACGAAGCCATTTTTCCCTGCATGGAGACGTTGAAGGTATTCAAGATGTCAAAAATATCCGCCATGTACGCCAGCTTTGCAACCCATTCAGAATTTCGGAATAGTTCTGACCAATGTGGTTTCTTGAACTGGAGGAAGTGGGCGATCTCATGTCGTAGTTCAAATACTAGAGAGAGAACTTTGCCTCTGGACAACCAGCATATATCAGCATGCAGTATGAGTTGTGTGTGCTCAACACCCGCATCTTCACATAATACTGCAAATAACCTTGAATTCAGTGCATTGGCCTTCACATGATTCACAATTTTCACAACCTCACTCAGAATTGAGTTTAATTCGGGTGACATTTTCTTAATGGCTAGATTTTCTCTGTGAATTATACAGTGTGATGATTTACAATCTGGGGCCACTGCTTTAATCTGGGCTATCACGCCGGAATGACGTCCTGTCATCGCCGCAGCTCCATCTGTACAGACGCCGACACAATTTTGGAAATTCCAATCGATTTTTTTCGAACTATGTGGTCGCTCAAACTCTTGAACAATTCTGTACTAGTTGTGCTAGTTGGTAACGAATCAGAAAAAGAGTACTCCTCCTTCAAATCTCCTTTGTATTCGTAATGCACAAAAACCATAAGAATTGCCTTATTTGCAGTATCAGTACTTTCATCGAGCTGTAACAAATAATACTTTGATGATTTAACTTGTGTTATGAGCTGATCTTCCATATCTTCTGCCAAATCATGGATGCGACGTGCAATAGTGTCGTTTGACATTGGAACTTGGGATACTTTCTGTGCCACTGTCTCACCCAGCATTTCTTGACATACGTCTTTAATACAGCCTATCACGAGTGTCTCCCCAACTGTAAACGGCTTCTTTGCCTTGGCAATACGAAGAGCAACCTTATATGAAGTGCACAGTGCACAAGCATTTATGCGTGTCAAATTGAGCAGTTGTTTCTGGGATGATTTCAAATTATCATACTTCCTTTCAAAAAACTCTTGCGGTTTTGAAAACAATTCGCCATGTTTGGCATTTTGATGCCTCTTCAATTTCAAGGGTTTCATGGCATCATTGCTCAAGATTTCACCACAAATCATACACTGTGGTTTTTCCACTCCATTTTCATCCATGGCACAAAATCCAAACTGAATGTATGAGCAGTCATATTTTCGAATGTAGCTAATTCGATTCCTCCTTTTTGATGGTGGTCCAATTTCACCTGAATCCACCGAAATATCTTCAGTATCATCATTTTCAGG